TACATCTATCCCGATTTGGGTATACTTCCCTGAGGAGGCATTTGAGCTGAGTTCTAAAGTATGGCAGACATTACACCAACTAGAAAAGGTGACAGAAGTATTGGAGGTGGCCAGGCAACAAGGGAGTTTACATTCAGGGCAGCTTGAATCTGTGCTCCCAGCTTGCAGTCCTCAAACTTGACCCAAATAAACTCTACTTAATAAAAGAAAGGTTAGGGACAGCCACTGTTCATGGCTGTACTCCCAGTACTTTGGAAGGCCAAAGCAGGAGAATCACTTAAGGCCAGGAGTTTGAGGTTACAGTGAGCTATATAGTAATGCCACTACACTCTAGCCCAGTGAAGAGATCAAGACTTTGTCTAAAAAAATAACATAGCTTGACAAGTTTGAGAAACAAAGCAGTTGATATAGGTAAAACATGGAATAGAGGGGCTAAGCAGTGAGATGAATATGAAAAGGCCAGGGTAAGAATCATAGGCAGTGTTGAGCCAGCCTTTTTAGCTCTTTGAAAACGTGGAGTCTTGGATCATTCCTAAGGGTGAACCGGAAGCCACTGAGGGGTTGTGAGCTTGATAGAATGGGCACTTGAGAAAACTTAACTCTGGAGAGTCTTGATTGGCGAGAACAAGATGGGAACCAGAGGAACTTGGTCCCTCTGATCATATGATAGGGTAACCCAGTAGGGAGAATCAGAGTAGCCTACCGGGCATAGAGATACTTCAGAGCTGAGAAAAAAGCATAGGAGACATAATTAACAATTTTCCTAGTTTCTTTTACCAGTGAGGATAGGCTGGTTGTGTTGCCTTAAACACCTAATATTTATTGGCCTAAAGATTTCTCTCTTAGGTGCTAAATGCCCATTAGTGGTTGATCTAGGCTGACAGAGCAGAACTATAACATTGCCAGCTATTGTAACAAAGCTAAGAAAGAAGATAGAGTGATGAAAGGGTAACTGGCTTTGAAAACTCACCTGAATTTGATAACAATAACTGCAATCCTACTTTTTGTCCAGGAGAGAGTCTGAATATTTGTTAATAATTCTAATGACTATTATGGGCCACTCTTTCAATTATTGTATTTTTTATCTTTTAGATACAGAGTCTTGCTCTATCGCCCAGGCTGGAGTGCGGTAGTCTGATCATAGCTCACTGCAGCCTTAGATTCCTGGGCTCAAACGATCCTCCTGCCTTATCTCCTATTAAGAGGGGTTCCCCAGTACACTGCTTTCCATGACCCTTGCTGACCTTGCTGATATGCTGAACAAATTTACCTTTCATTCCTGCTTTCAAACTTGTTTTCTTTCTTTCTTTTAATCTTCGTAAATACAACCAATAACTATGGTACTAAGATTCGGTTTTTCCCAGTTCTTCACCAAGGGCTTCGAGCTTATTAATATTGCCTCACTTCCAGGTTATCACACGTGATAGCTTTACTAAAAGAACTGGCATCCTCCCAGCCCCCAGAACTGACATCCTCCCAGCTCCCAGCCCCCATCCTCCCAGCCCCACTAGCCACTCCCGGATACCACCATCCTAACAGCTAGCTACTCAAGCTGGAAAACTCCTAGGTCTTTATTCTTTTATTTATTTATTTATTTTTGAGACACAGTCTCACTTTGTCATCCTTGGTAGACAGAGCGTAGTGGCATCATAGCTCACAGCAATCTCAAACTTTTGGGCTCCCCTTTTGCCTCTGTCTCCTGAGTAGCCAGAACCATAAGGGCCCTCCACAATACTGAGCTAGTTTTACAGATGGGGTTCTTACTTTTGCTCAGGCTGGTCTCAAACTTCTGAGCTTAAGCAGTCTACCCCCTCCCCCCCGCCTCCCAGAGTACTAGGATTATAAGCATAAGCTACTGCACTCAAACCCTTATGTCTTTATTCTTGATTCCCAATCTCCTTCATCTCCCACATCCAATCTGTAAATCCTGCCAATGAAGTCCATCAATTCCCTGCCACCATTAGATTTTTTTCTTTATTTAATTACACACAAAACATTAACCTGTAAGTCAGACCCTCTTACAAGGGCAAAGCTGTGAAGTAGGTGTGATCATTTTACAGATGAGGAAACTAAGGCATGGAGAGGTTAGGTAACTTGTTCAAGGCACAAAGCTATTAAGTGGCAGAACTGAGATTCAAATTCTTAGTCCCTGAGCTTAACCACCATGTTCTAACCTATGGCTGTTCCTGTAAGTCTGGTTTTGACTACTGCCATGACCACCTGTTCTCCCTGAATACACTCTTCATTAGACTCTTCAATATTTCTGAACATCCCACCCTGAGTTTGGAGGAAAAAGTTGGCCTACTCCCCTGAGGCACCTTCTGCTTCTACTCCACACACTGGGCTCTGGGCTCTGGCCTCCTACCTTCTAGTACCATCATCCCAAAACTGTCACTCTCACCCCTGACAAAAACCTGGGTGGATCACACTTAAATAAGCAAAGATAAACTTTTGTTGTTAACTGTTCAAAGAAACATTATCTGCTTATTATTCCAACAAGAGAATTTCTTAGGGCCCTCCCCCACAACCTTGTTCTTCCAGTTTTTTGAGTTATCCAAACCAAAAATCCTTTGCACTTTGTTAACCAGAGGGATGTAGCTTCCTCTTTGTCTTGTCTGTCTCACTTTACCCACCTTACTCCACCCCAACTCCAGCCCCACCCTCCCTCCTCCACCAAACATAGGTCCCTAGGCTGGGCGCCTGTAGCATAGTGGTTATGGTGTTCGCCACATACACCAAGGCTGGCAGGTTTGAACCCAGCCAGGCCAGCTAAACAACAATGGCAACTGCAAAAACAACAACAAAAATAGCCCAGTGTAATGGCAGATGCCTGTAGTTCCAGCTACTTGGGAGACTGAGGCAAGAGAATCACTTAAGACAAGAGTTTGAGGTTGCTGTGAGCTGTGATGCCACAACACTCTACCAAGAATGACATAGGGAGACTGTCTCAAAAAAAACCAGAAATAGGTCCCTCAAAGTGTTTATTACACAAAAGAACCATTCCAACCATTGTGGCTGGATTTTAGTTCAATTAAGACACTTTCAGTTGACTTAAGATTATTCCTTAACAATTTTAGGACTTTTCCTCCAGGTCCCTTTCTCAGGCTGTCTAGCCCAGCTGCCCAAATAGCCTTTCCTAGACACATATTTAATGCTTGCCATGGTAAAGGTCAATGTCACCCTGATCTCAGCTTCCTACCCCTATATTAAGTATTGGCAACATTTTTTTTTTTTTTTTTTTTTGCAGTTTTGGCTGGACCCAGGTTCAAACCTGCCACCCCCAATATATGGGGCTGCCGCCCTACTCATTGAGCCACAGGCACTGCCCAGTATTGACAACTTTTTATCTTTCCAGAAATATCCTCCCTTTTCAGTATGGCCAATGTTTCCTTGTGTTTACAGGAGGGGTCATACTATGCTTTTCTCTCTTGGAGTTCCTTCCACATCAGCATATAGGGACAAATTCCTTTTTTAAAAAGAAAGTATCTAATTGTACATATTCGAGATTATTTAGCCACCTCTCCAGGGAACATCTCAATAACCCAGTTCTGTTGTTTTGGTATGAGATGCTGCAATGGATATTCTTTTCCATGTCATTTGTTTTAATTAAAGTAAAAGTGACTTCAGATTTATTGAGACCCTCCCAAGTTAGAGTTCTATCAAGCCAGTTTGAGAATTTAGCATGCCACTCTCTCCCTGCTAAAAACCTTCCTGGAGTAGGGCGGCGCCCGTAGTTCAGTGGGTAGGGCACCAGACCCAGTGGTTCAGTGAGTAGGACACCAGCTCCATATACCAAGGGTGGCAGGTTCAAACCCAGCCCCGGCCACGTTGTGGCGGGCGCCTGTAGTCCCAGTTACTGGGGAGGCTTGAGGCAAGAGTATTGCCTAAGCCCAGAAGTTGGAGGTTGCTGTGAGCAGTGTGATGCCACGGCACTCTACTGAGGGCAATAAAGTGAGACTTTGTCTCTACAAAAAAAACACCTTCCTGGAGAAGCGATGTATGGGGTTCTGCCCCCCAGAACCAAAGAACTTTAGGTCTTTAACGTGTGGATTTCATTTATTCGCCTGTAAAGTGGGGTATAAATCTCATGGCTCGGGTTGGTTTTGAGAATCCAGACTGCTTCCGTAATGCCTAGGCAGTAGAAGAGGCCTTGGCTGCCTTTCAGGGTGCCCCAGCGCACAGGCTAAAGCAGCGGCTGATCAAACTAGAGGAGCCCCTCCTCCACTTGCAGATGAGGAAACTGAGACACAAAATGCCAGAGGGCTGGTGAAGACCACAGAACATTTGTCTGAGCTGTGGCAGGTGGCATCCGATCTGGGGCCCAGGAGGGCTGCACACATCTAGACGTCATCTAAACGGAGGCCTGGCCTGGACTTCTTCCTTCCTCTTCTACCCAGTCCTTTCCCCCACCCAACCCCTTTCCTCCCACCCCCATCCCCACACGCACTCTAATACCCCTCTAGGCAGATTGGGTGAGGAGGGTGTCATCCCTGAACAACTGAAATCAGCGGCAGTTGGCGTTAATCCCAACCTCAAAGTGGATGGTGGGGGGCGCCCGCAGCTTTCCTCCCAGCTGGGCCTTAGACCTTGTGCCCTCAGTACTTGATTTCGTGCTCAGTGAATGCAAGTGGGACGTGTGTCTGAGACGGCAGACGGGTGTTGCGTGGTGTACCCTTCCTTCCATGCGTAGACGTGTTAAACTTGTGTATTGTGGCGTGAAGATGTGGGAGTTCACGAAACATGGAGCTCCTCATTCCCAGAGATCTCACCCTCCGGGTGGTTACAGAAGTCCCGGAGCTGTCGCCTGGACCGGCTCAGCCGCCTGATCTGGGCTATGCGCGTGCGCGACTCCACCGTAGGCTCCTCCCCGCGATTGAACTCCCGCCTTCGCCCCGCCCTCCCCACACTTTACGGCCCGGCGCGTCACTTTTGCTGCAGTAGCTCCCGCAGCTGCTGCTGTGTCTGCCGCCGCGGCTGCTGCCGGTGAGGTGAGGTGAGGTGAGGTGAGGTGAGGTGAGGTGTGCTGTTAGGCTGGTACCGTCTCCCTGGCCCAGGGAGGAGGTGGAGAGCAGGGCCGCATCGGACCAGTGGGGGCGGCTTGTCAGCCGCTGCTTTGTCTTCTTAGCTCTGGTCGCTTCTGCGCTGCCGCTGGGAGGCCGCCCGGGCCCGGCGAGCCGAACCAATGCTGGATCTGGAGGTGGTGCCCGAACGCTCTCTGGGGAACGAGCAATGGGAATTCACACTGGGTGAGTTTGGAGTCTTCTGTCAGGACCCCATTTGCTGATCTGTTCTCTCTGAGCCCTTTCCATATCTGTTCTCTGTCCCTTATGCGCCCCTGCTCCCGAGGATCCTCGCCTCTTCCATCCTTAATCTATTTGGGCTCCAAGCACTAGATAACAGCTCCGACCGGCCGGATCCGCCTGTTAGTGGCTCTGCTAGGCACCAAAGCCCTCGCCTCAGGCCTTAAGCAGGGTCTTTTCTAGGCTAGTGAGACAGTAGTAGTAGTAATAATAATACCTGGTTCACCCAAAACACTTAAAGCCCGCCGCTGTTCTGTTTGAACGTAATTATCTCTAGTAACCCTGTCTGACTTATTGGTACTGAAGAGTGGTACTATTGTTATTCTTATTCCCAGTTTACTGACTAAACAATGGCTAAGAAGTGACTGACACCTCTAATCATCGCTGTGGTCTCTGGTCTCTCTCCCTCTGCTTTTCTGGGCTGCTGGTTGCCTCATTTTGGAGGAGAAATCCAGGCTTGGATTCCATAATCTGATGGCGGAGATCTGGTCAAGGGAGTTAGGAAGTCTGTGTGTGTTAAAGGAACATCTGACTCGTTTCCTTCTCTTTTGAAATGTAGTCTGTGTGTGATGTTGTAGTCATAAACCTGGACCCCAGCTGTGAAATAGGAGTTAAGGGAAAGAAAATTTGTTAAAATATATATATACATATATATAGTTTGGTCATTTTCTGGTTTGTTGGCCTACCTTTCTCCCTTCACCCTTTCTTTTTTTTTTTTTTTTTTTGAGACAGAGCCTCAAGCTGTCCCCCTGGGTAGAGTGCCGTGGCATTACAGCTCACAGCAACCTCCAACTCCTGGGCTCAAGCGAGTCTCTTGCCTCCGCCTCCCAAGTAGCTGGGACCACAGGCGCCCGCCACAACGCCCGGCTATTTTTGGTTGCAGCCATCATTGTTGTTTGGCGGGTCCGGGCTGGGGATTCGAACCCGCCACCTTAGGTGTACGTGGCTGGCGCCTTAGCCGATTGAGCTATAGGCGCCGAGCCACCAGACTTTTTTTTAAAGTCATATTTCCTTTCTATTTTCTCCCCCATCCTCAACACATCCAATTTATGTTTGGGACTATTAGGTAGAGATAGGTCTGGGCAGGGACTCTGTGCTTTAGGATTACCTTCCTAGGCTAGTGAACCAGGCCATACTTCTCACCATAAACCTGTAAGACAAGTGTTATTATCTCCATTTGCCAGGTGAGGAACAGGTTCAGAGAAATAGAGGTGATAAACAAATAGCCAAACAGGCAGGGATTTTCTGGGTTTCCCGGTGCTCTGCCCTCTCAGAGTGGGATTAACATTATCATTAGGTTTCTTATTGAAATCTGTGCAAATGCAGATATATCTGGGTCTTGAAATCATCCTCCGGGCATCACAATGGGGAGAGCTGCATCCAGCTTCTTGGTTGCCTCCCTGGCCTTTGTATAATGGTAGGAGATTAAGGAAATGCCAACAACACAGGGACAGGAAAACCTAGGCCGAGCTCAGTTTCTGTTAACTGCCACTGAAGGTTTGACAGTAGTGGAGTAAAGGTCATGCAAATTTGAAATAATGTTTTCAATGAGAGTTACAGAACGTATTGATGTGGAGGCATGTTTCTGAATCTGTTTTTTAAATTAGTCTTGAAAATGTCCAAAGAAGGTAGATTGAAGGGTCACTGGAGAAACTACCTTCTCTGAGATTATATTGATCCAGAGACTGGAGGTTCACTTTGCCAAAAGCAGCATGCACCTTTGTGGACTCTGCTCACAAATGTTGAAAATTAAATAAGAAGTGATCTTATGCTCTGAAGAGCTTAGTGTAGTGATAGGGAAAGACTATATAAATAGATCATTTTATTATAATGAAGTAAAGAATGTATAGGGAGCTGTGGAGTGAGAGAAAGGACTTGGACTGACCTGGGGGTTCAGAGAAGGCTTCCTGTCTACCTCCGGGAGCTATAAACCTTCCAGGCAAGTGAAAGAAAAAAAAAAAAAACAGTAGAAAGATAGATGGCACATGCATGGAACCATGAGCAATTGGCATTATAATTACATCATGATGTACTGGTAGAAGAAGAAAATGGCTTTCCCAGAGACCTAGTTATATTTGGTTAGATCTACCTGGGACACTAAAGGAGTCTCTGCAAAGAGAGACAGCATTAATTGTGAGAATTGGTTTAAGAAGAACAGTTTGGAGACTAGATTTGGAGAAATAGGGAAGAAGGGAGAAATCTAGAGGTTTCTGACTTGAGAGATTGGTAGATATTAGAAGTATTGAGACCTAGAATACAGAGAAGGTGGAAAAGGTCACTTTTAATCTGTTGACTTTTATTTGCCTTTAGGTGTATACAGAAAACAGATTAAGATGTGAGTCACAAATTAGGTGATTAGGCCAGAGGTGGTAGCTCATGCCTTTAATCCTAGCTCTTGGGAGACCAAGAAGGTGGATTGCCTGAGCTCAGGAGTTGAGACTAGCCTGAGCAAGAGCCAGGCACCATCTCTACTAAAAATAGAAAAGGCTGGGTGCAGTGACTCACACCTATAATTCTAGCGCTGGGAAGCTGAAGTAGGTGGATTGCTTGAGCTCATATGTTCAAGACCATCTTGAGCAAACGTGAGACCCTGTCTCTACTAAAAATAGAAAAAAAAAACTGAAGCAAGAGGATTGCTTGAGCCCCAGAGTTGGAGGTTGCTGTAAGCTTTGATGCCACAGCACTACTCAGGGTGACAGCTTGAGACTCTGTCTCAAAAAAAAAAAAGTTGTGGTAGTCATCTATAGTTTGTCAGCTACTTCAGAGGCTAAGGCAAGAGGATCGTTTGAGCCCAAGAATTTGAGGGTACTATGAGCTATGACTCCACAGTACTCTACCCAGGGCGACAGAGTGAGACTCTGTCTCAAAAAAAAAAATCTATTGCAAAGATCTGATGTAGGAAAGAACAGACATGTGCTAGTAACAAAGGTGAAGCATGGTAAGCAGTGGAAAGAAAGATGGAGCTGGACAAGGCCCAGCATATTCAGGGCCTTTAGGCAATGGTGTGTTGTTTAGGTTTTATCCTCTTGTAATGGAAAGCCATGGTGGGGTTATAAGCAGGCAAGGGATGAGATATGTAAGTTAGATTTATGCAGTATAGAAGGTTGACCATTCTGTTATAGCTGGAACAATGCTTCTGTTTCTTTGCCATTTATATAGTCGGTTTATTTTAGAGGCCTTTTGTACCAATGCTTACCATTAGCTATGTGACAATCACCATGGCTGCTTTGTCTTTACTGGGTGGGTTTCTCCCTGGGTGATTCAAGATTACGGGACCAGCACTTCGATGTGGCTAAGTGGAAAAGAATCTTCCTTCAAAAAACTTGTATATGCCACATGGATGAGAGAAGCTACATGGCTTTCTCCTTCTTGGCACCTAAATGAGCTTATCTTCTTTCTTTGTTTTTTTGAGACAAAGTCTCAAGCTATCCCCCTGGGTGAGTGCTGTGGCATCACAGCTCACAGAAGCCTCCAACTCCTGGGCTCAAGCCAGTCTCCTGCCTCCGCCTCCCTAGTAGCTGAGGCTACAGGTGCCCGCCACAATGCCTGGCTATTTTTTGGTTGCAGCCATGATTGTTGTTTGGCGGGCAGGGCTGGATTTGAACCCGCCACCTTAGGTGTATGTGGCTGGCGCCTTAGCCACTTGAGCCACAGGCGCTGAGCCAGCTTATCTTTTTCCTCACGTGATTTTCCATCTCAGGATTGACAAGGCTGAGTGATGCATACAGCTTGTTCATATTCTCAACAAACATTTATTGATCCTCTACTGCAGTGCCAGGCCCCAAGCTGTAGAAGGCTATAAAGTACTTCATTTAAGATTATAAGTCAGGCTCAGTGCCTGTAGCTCAAGCAGCTAAGGCGCCAGCCTCATACACCAGAGCTGGCGGGTTCAAATCCAGTCCAGACCTGCCAAACAACAGTGACAAGTACAACCAAAGTATAGCCGGGTGTTGCAGTGGGCTCTTATAGTCCCTCCTACTGGGGAGGCTGAGGCAAGAGAATCGCTTCAGCCCAGGAGTTGAAGGTTGCTGTGAGCTGTGATGCCATGGCACTCTACCCAGCGCAACAGCTTGGCAACAGCTTGAGGCTCTGTCGCAAAAAAAAAAGATTATATAAGGCACCAGCCACATACACCTAAGGTGGCGGGTTCGAATCCCCAGCCCGCCCCGCCAAACAACAATGATGGCTGCAACCAAAAAATAGCCAGGCGTTGTGGCGGGCGCCTGTGGTCCCAGCTACTTGGGAGGTGGAGGCAGGAGACTCGCTTGAGCCCAAGAGTTGGAGGTTGCTGTGAGCGTGATGCCATGGCACTCTACCCAGGGGGATAGCTTGAGGCTCCGTCTCAAAAAAAAAAAAAAAAGAAAAGATTATAAGTCATACAAAAGGAAAAGAACAAAAATAGCCTTCTGATTCCCCTCACCTTTCTTCAGACAAGATCGGGCGTGTTCAGGGTGGTATGGCTGTAGACCCCTCACCTTTCTTCAAACTGAAGAGTAAATCTGTCAACTGAGGGTGGGATACGATTATTTGTTTAAATGTAGATGAGCCACAGGTTTTTAACCTTCTATTTCTTTATTTGTAAGCTATTTTCTGCACATCTCATCTCCTTGATCTAGAGGTCAGCTGATCCTGAATGTGAGCCCCTGTGCTGTTCAGGGGTGATATAATGATACTTCTTTCTCTCTTTCTTTTGTCGCCCACCCCACAGTGCCACAGTACCATTAAATAAATATTCAACAGCCACTAGGTGGTCAATTCTGAGCAGAGTGCAAGGGATACAGAGAGTGGTGAATAACAGACACATTGTCTTTGTATTCATGAAACTATGAGTCTTTGTTTTTGGATTATCCAAGACCTGTCTCTGTGTATGTTTCTTCTAGTTTAAAATAAAATGGACGCTGAAAAAACAAACTTTTTCATCATCTCTGTGAGCCCTTGGAATGTTTGAGATATCATTGAGATTTAGATTACTTAAACTGGAGGCATATATAAATCTGCCATGAGTTAAAAAACTAAATGTTCAGTTAGATGATTGTGGATTTTTGAGTAAAAAAAAAATCTATTGAAATCCTTGGTAAAATAAGTTGGTTTTTTTTTGTTGTTTTTTTTTTATAGAGACAGAGTCGTACTTTATCGCCCTCGGTAGAGTGCCATGGCATCACACAGCTCACAGCAACCTCCAACTCCTGGGCTTAGGCGATTCTCCTGTCTCAGCCCCCCAAGTAGCTGGGACCACAGGCGCCCGCCACAACGCCCAGTTATTTTTTGTTGCAGTTTGGCTGGGGCTGCGTTTGAACCACCTTTGGTATATGGAGCTGGCACCCTACCTACTGAGCTACTGAGCTACAGGCACTGCCCAGTTGATTCTTTTTTTTTTTGGGAGATAGTCTCACTATGTCGCCCTCAGTAGAGTGCTATGGTATCACAGTTCACAGGAACCTTAAACTCTTGGGCTTAAGCAATTCTCTTGCCTCAGTCTCCCAAGTAGCTGGAACTACAGGCGCCTGCCACAACTCCCAGCTATTTATTTTTGTTGTTGTTTGGCCGGCTGCAGCCAGGTTCAAACCCACCAGCCCCAGTGTATGTGGCCAGTGCCCTCCCTGGCTGCTGAGCTACAGGTGCAGAGTCAAATTGATTCTGATGAATGTGTTACTTTAAACTTTTTAAATAGGCCCTTTAAAGTAATGTACCCTAATAGACCCTCATTTGAGAGAGATATAGAGACTGGTGCCAGAGAGGAAGAGAAAGGACCTGCTGGAGGTCATGTCTAAGCCATGGCAAAGTGAAGACTAAAACCTTGGTCTCCAGAGTCATGCAGTCAGTACTTTTCTCTATTCTTTGGTTCTTGCTGACTTTGCCTTCTCAAACCCCTTGCCTGCTTGGGAGCAGTGTCGAAGTTCCTGTTTCTAGGAAGCCTTTTTGTATTTTCACTGCCTCCCCTTAGACAGTACAAGTATTCCCTTAGTATTTGCTGCTTAACTTTATTCTAGCTCATACTGCTTACTAAACTTTAATTTACTCATAAGACTGTTCCCAGGCTTTACTGCAGAAACCAATGTCTAGCACAGTTGTAGATGTCATTAAATGGACAGCCCAAATAACCACACAGATGTCCTTACTTTATTTCAGGAATGCCTCTGGCTCAAGCAGTAGCCATTCTGCAGAAGCACTGTCGCATCATCAAAAATGTCCAGGTTCTCTACAGTGAACAGGTGAGTTGGGGCTGATTTGTCTGTTGGAATAGAGCCCCTAATCAGTGAGTCACTGCCAGAGGTGACACTGGGAGAGACTGACTGGCAGAGACTGGTGTGTTTGGGAGAATCTCTACCACTGGTCAGTTATCAGGTATACTTTCTTTGATTCTGAAACTTTTCCTCTTGGTTATCTAGTGCTGCCAGTTTTGGAAGAGTGGTAATCAAACCTTTCTTTTCGCCTGTGCTTGACTCACCTACAGGCCCTTAGACAAGGACTTTGCAGTGGGAGATCACTGCAGGGGCTGCCTCTCTCTGGTCTTCTTTAGTGCTTATCTTCCACTTTTATGTCTTTCTTGCTTTATTCTTGGTTTGTGTTCAGGATTGTTCAAGTGCACATCTCTAGCTAGCACAGGATACCCAATTTGAAACAGATATAGCTCACCCCTTAATCTCTCTCAAAGAGCAGTTTCCCCTCCACTGGACTCTCTGAAACCTACAGTTCTTCTATGACACAGAACATGTGCTGCCATGTGGAATAGCCTTTGTAGTACTGTATGTCACAAGCCTCAGAGAATGGTTTTAAACCTATAGATGATAATGATGTCCCTGGTGGCTTTTCTGAGACCCTTTGAGTACTGGCTCATTGATTTCAGTTCTGTTTGTTACAATTAATTTCAAATCCTAAAGCAAACAGCAGCTTACTTTGGACATGAATAATGTTGTAGATTACAGGTTGGTAAGATTTCTGTGAAGCTTCTCCAATTTGGCTTAGGCCAGAGTCAGAATTGAGCCTGATACCTATACCCAGAGATTATGTTCTGCTACACTGTACTCCTCTGCCAGGCTAGTGAGGTCTGGTGAGAGGGATCTTTCTTTTTCTTTTCTTTTTTTTCAGGCCAGGTCTCACTCTGTCACCCAGCTAGAGTGCAGTGGCACCATCATAGCTCACTGCAACCTCAAACTCCTGAGCTCAAGTGTGTGATCCTCCTGTCTCAGCCTCCTGAGTAGCTGGGACTATGGGTGCATGCCACCATACCTCATTAGTTTTTTTTGTTTTGTAGGGACAAGAAGTCTTGCTCTTGCTGGTTTTTTTGTTTTGTTTTGAGATAGAAAAAAAGAATAAGAGTTTGAAGTTGCTGTGAGCTATGATACCACGGCACTCTACCAAGGGCAGACAACTGCATCAGAGAGCCCTTCTCCTTTTGTCTTCCCTTGGTAGAGTGCCTTGGTGTCATAGCTCACAGCAACCTCAAACTCTCAGTCTCAAGCAAACTTCTTGCCTTAGTTTTTCATTTTTAGTAGAGATACGGGGGTCTCACTTTTTTTTTATTTTATTTTATTTTATTTTATTTTGAGACGGAGCCTCAAGCTATCCCCCTGGGTAGAGTGCCATGGCATCACGCTCACAGCAACCTCCAACTCCTGGGCTCAAGAGAGTCTCCTGCC